CGGGCACCATGGCCGTGAGATTCCAGGCGAGTAGCCCCGGAGCGCGCGGGACGGGGTGGCAGTGCGATCCGGGCTTTCAGATCCCCGCCTGCCTGCCTGCGGGCCGGGGAAACTGAGGCCCGGAGGTGGGGGCTAGCCTGGGCCACGGAGGGAGCTAAGTCGGCGACCTCGCCCCCCAGAGCCCCGCGTTCGAGTCCCGCGGCGGCGGCGCCCCGCCGGCTTTGTTCTGCTCTCGGCCCCGGTGTCCGCCGAGCACCTGCTGCGCACGGAGACCTGAGGGCGCGCGGCGGGTGGGGCGACTGCAGCCGCCTGGGGACCCTGGGGACCCGGCCTTGGGGCGCGGGGCTCTCACGGCCCAGGAGGGTAAACTGAGGCCCGGGGGCTGGGTCTCCCCGCCCCGGCGGGTGGCGGATCCCCGGGTCCCCGCGGGCTGCGGCCCCTCCCGCCGCTGGCGTCTGCAGGGGGCGGGGGCGGGGCGCGGCGCTCACCTGGGGGCGGGGCCGAGGGCCGGAGCCAGCGGGTTTAAGCCGCCCTCCTCTGCTTTCCAAGCGCTGCCCCCTTCCCCCGGGGCAGTGAGGACGCGACTCGGTCACCCGAGCCCCGGCCCGGCCCGCCCGGGCGCCCGAAGTCGGGGAGGGGTGCGGGATACGTGCGGGAAGAGACCGGGCCCCGGGGCTCTGCGGGCCGAATAGGAGTTTGCCGAGGGCCTGGCGGAGGGCGGGTCGCCGAGCCCGGGGCCTGCGGGACTCAGGAGGGCGGCCAGGATGGGGTTAATCCGCGGCCCGGGAGCCCCGGGGGGGGGGGCGCAGACCGGCCCACACCGGCGGGGACGCGCTGGGCGGGTCGGGGCAGGCCCGGCCACCTGCGCCCTCCCCCGGGAGCCCTGCGCCCTCCCCCGGGAGCCCCGCGCCCTCCGGAGCCCAGAACTCGGAATTCCACGGGGGGGGGTCAGCTGTCCCCGCCGGGGCGGTGCCTCGTCCCTGGGAAGCGGAGGCAGGAGGATGGCCATGAGTGTGGAGCTCACCTAGGCGGTGGCGCGAGACCTCCCTGCGCGCCCCCCAAAGCAAACCAAAGCCCAGGCGCTAGAGCTGGGGAGATGGGGGGTCCCACAGTCGGGGGGGTCACAGGTCAGCAGAGGGGGGTCACAGGTCAGCAGGGGGGTCACAGGTCAGCAGAGGGGGGTCACAGGTCAGCAG